GGTACATGAACCTTTATTATGTGCAGAGATTGCTTCCATTCCCAAAGTAAAAACTCACTACATTTTTAATGTTTTTTGATAAATTACAAATGGATGGTAAAAAAAAAAAAACACTTTACAGTGATTAACATTTATCAACTCAATGGATTACATGCAATTTTAAAGGAAAACTCAAAATAAATCAAAATAAATATTGTATGTTTACACAGTCATATTCACAGATCTGATTATCCATTGCTTTCTCTTGAAAGCTGAAATCCTGTTCTCTTTCACACCCAATCATTCAAAACAAGGTATTAAAAATTCCGCAGTACCATGGAACTATATATTATTTGTAATTTTTTATTAGAATCCCACCTTTATTCCCTGATCAGCAAGAGCTTTTACAACAGAGATTCCCAAACCCAAAATAACTAGGACAAAATCCAGACAATTATTTGTTCTTACATAGTTCAATTCAGTCAGCTATAAGAAGATCCAATTCGACTGCAGAAACAAACATCTTTTCAACATCCACACATACTGTATCAACACACATTAGTAAATCGATCATATGAAATTATTCATTTAGTGCAAATGACAAGCAAGGCATCAACTCTGCAGTTCCATAGGCCACTGAAGCCTCCGAGCACCCATGACTGCACCACACTTCCATTTCTTTCTATCGTCCAGTGTATTTTGTACAAAGACTCCTGGGTAGAAGCAGTTGAATATCACCATATATACGAGTCCTTGCATGTTTTCCATACTATAGGGCAGCAGTAAGACTTTTTATGGAAGATTCTGAGTAATGATCTTCTCAAGATCTGTGAGATGTCTGTCCTTTCATTCCTGCCGTTTTCTTCACCCATAATTATCTTTCTGCATTGCCGGCTTATTGCAAGAGCTTTGGTAATGCAACCTATGAAAAAATATGATTCATGGTGAGTTCAAATGTTCAACATCTATCTATCTATCTATCTATCTATCTATCTATCTATCCATCCATCCATCCATCCATCCATACATAATGCATTTATATGTGTGTATATATATATATATATATAAAATGCATATGTGTATTTTTATTTACATATGAAATCCTTTTTACTATTATCTACAAATATATAATCTACAATTTAAAATGTATATTATTGCATTTAAAAAAATATAATTTCCTACCTTTTTGAGCTCTTTTATATTGCTGCCTCTAATGGAAGCCAGAAGTTGGTCCCTTGAGTTTTTAGCTCCTCCTCTTCCTACTCTCCTATCGTCTAGCTTCCTTTGTGACATGGGCGTCAGGGAGTTCTTCAGGAAGTCTCCGTCTAGCATTGGCGGTGGAGGCGGTGGTGGTCCTCCAGGTGGTGGTGGTGGCGGAGGTGGTCCACCACCAAGCCCACTGACCCTTTTCTTATGAGTCAACTTGGGTGACGGGGCGGGTGACGGTATGGGAGAAGTTATAGGAGATGGTCTAGGCGAAGCTTTCGGGGAGCCTTTACCAAAGCCGGGTTTTGGAACTTCTAATGTGTCTTTCTTATCTCCAGTGCCTTGGGCTTGTGCCTGCTTCTGTTCCTGCAGTCGCTTTTGCCGCTGACGGTCCATATTGCGACTAAGAATATTGGTCATGGTCATACGAGGACCAGCTAACTCAAAGTGGTAGCCCAGTTTCAGAAGAGTCGTGTTTTCTTTCAAGATTTTGGTCATCTCCATCTCGGACTTTCCTCCAATGATGTGTCGCTGGTTGTGGAAGCGTAACTCAGTGAGTGTGGAGTTGTGTTGGAGGGCATGGATCAAGGACATAACACCTTTGCTAGTAAGAAGATTGGAGTCCAAATTGATGCTAGTGATGCTTTTGTTATTTCGTAAGGTCTCGGCAATAGCATAAGCCACGTGGTCATCGGCACGGCAGTTAGCCAAAGAAAACACTTTGATGTGTGTGTTGTTTTTTAAGGCCTCTGCGAACTGAATAAGTGTTTTGGTTTTTATGACCTCTGAATTGTTCACATTGAGATCAGTCATGCTCAGATCGTTGCAACGAACTCTCTCCAAATCTTCATCAAACATGCTGGCCGACTCATCCTCCTCTTCCTCCTCTTTTGTCTTACTTTTTGAAATAGTATCTGAGACACAGTTTCCAATTTTCTCTTGCTTAATGGGTTCATGAACTTCATTTTCAATTTCATTTTGTTTCTGAACATCCCCTCTTCCCTTATTGCTTGATTTTGCATTATATTCTTGTGGCTTCCACACATTTTCATAAGTTTTTTCCGGTGTTTTCTCTTTATTTTCAGGAAGTCCCTTTACTTCCAACATAGGGCTCTTTTTCACCTTTTCGCTTAACCTTCTTATTTGGTTTTCTTCCTTGAACTTCTTCTCTTCTTTCATTTTGTCTTCTAGAACCTGATTTTGCTTTTCCTCTAACCTGGATGTATAGCCTTTAGTTTTGATTTCCTCTCTCTTCCTAATCTCTTCCTTTCTCTCCCTTTCCTTCTCCTCTTTGTCCTTTATCCTAGAAATCATCTCCTTTGCTCTACTTTCCCCAGATTCCCTTTTCCAACTGTCTTCCTTTCTGTTTTTCTCTTTACTATCCTCCTTCTTCTCCTGAAGCTTGGATATTAATTCTTTGGTTTTGCTGCTGCTACTTTCGCTCATCTCTCTTCTATCTTTGAATTTACTCCCATCATTTTGTTCCTTCACCTCTTCTTGCTTCTCACTCTCCTCGTCCTTCCTAGAAAGGGCATATGGGCCAAATTTGTCATCTTTGCTGCCCTCTGTGACTCTGCGGGTCCTGTCCTCCTTTCTACCATCACGTTTAGAGAAAGAAGAGGTGAAGGGGGTCCTCTGAAGCCCTCCATCTTTGCTGTCAGACGCGGAGGTATTCTTCTCTTGGCTCAGGCCCATCTTACGCAGGTACTCTTGCTTCCGGCTCTCCTTCTTCGGCTCTCCCTGAGGATTCAACATGTATGAATTATGGACAAACAAGGTGACATATGCAACATGTGTTATATTTTTTGTTTTGGGGGAGCCGACTGAAGGAAATGCCAGTAGCTTAGGCCTACATATCAATATTAAAATGTTCAACTGAAGACAGTGCTTCGACATAGATGGTTATACAAAACCTGTAATGCATGAGCACTGGATGTTTACACTGGATGTTTCACAGTGAAGATGTAAACTTGCACAGTGGCTGAGTGTTTGATTTGTGAGCTACACTGTTTTGCACTGGAAAGCTCCAGCCTTGGCAGACTTATCCTTAAAAGGCAGTGAGCAAAGGAGCAATCAACCAAGGAACTTCAACCGGGCCAACATTTCAAGAGACTTAACATCCAAAGATAGATATATCTCCTTTAAATATATCTTAGGAGGGTTATTTCTCCTGTTTGTATCATGCCTCAAAAAGTAAACATTTATGCCCATCACCCCTTTTACATTTAAAGTAATTTGTAAAAGTTGTACAAATATGTGCAAGATGTAAAAATATGGTGACTTTCGCTAAAGACATACAAGAGTCCTAAAATGATATAGGCATAAATCTATATTGAAAAAAATCTGTCAATACCCTAGAACTTGGAAATATTTGCCCAGAAAACCACATTATTTGTATTGATTTGTTTTGCATGTATTTCAAGCTCCTACTGCATTAAGCATGTTGGTTCAAACTCAGTCATTCACATTTTCATAGATGAACTTGTAAGGTAGTGAATATTTTACCTCTGTTGACAGGTTCCTCTGTAAGCGGGATCTGAAGTCATCGGTCTGGCTGCTTTGTTGTGATTCTTTTTTAAGTGGCGCGGTTGGTTTTAAATCCGTTTGGTCCACAACGATTATTTCACTCGGATCTGGATCGGGAACGACGGAAACTTCTTTCTGCAGCTCCTCCATTTCTTCGGGCGACAGGTTTGACAGTAAACTGTCGAGGTCCGGGTCCTCGCTCACCTGTCGCCCGGTTTTCGTGAGTCCCCTCACTTTCCTCCGGGACATTGCGTTCAGTAGTGATACAGAGTAATATAGAATTCGCTGAGGATATCACCGTGTTTTTCCACTTACTTAACCTTTTTTAAAAAACTGTTCATCAACAGTTAAAGTTTAAAATGAAGGAGGATGAAAAGAGTCAAACTGAAGCCTTTCTGGATGTGAAAGAATCGCGTGGAGCAGCGCGAGACGCGATGGACTGTCAGCGCAAGTTTGTGGTGCTCGGACATTCCTTGAAATCCATCGCGAGCACATGCCCATATTTAGATGGGGGTACATAGTCCTTTAAAGGCAATTGGGAAGGCTATGGTTTACTAAAACCCAAAAGCATCCCAGAAACAAACTGTTACTTCCTGGTCACTAAGGAAATCAGGATTCCTGGAGTACTGACAACATGTTTCCAGTGATGTTATAGAATGTTATAGAAATATGTTGGCTAGCCTACTATAATAGGCTGCTGTGCTATTCCAGGAATCAGTTTAATGTGGTTCAATAGAATAGCCTAGGCTATTCATAAATTTGAAGTGATAATGTTTCATCCTAGTAAATGGAAGCAAGCCAGACTACACATTTTTATTTATTTATTTATTTTGGTCTTGCTCAGCCTACTTTTTAATGGCTATCATTAAATGTTTTTAACAAAACACTAGTTATTTTGTGGCATATTATAAAATATTTTTGATATATTACAACATTTTGATGTGTAAAAATAAGGCAGCATTAAATAATGACAATCGGAAAATGCTGATTTCAGGAACTGCATTAATGGAGACAGCATGCAAAGTCAATTCTGTTTTTATTGTCATTTTTATTTATTTTGGTCTTGCTCAGCCTACTTTTTAATGGCTATCATTAAATGTTTTTAACAAAACACTACAGTTATTTTGTGGCATATTATAAAATATTTTTGATATATTACAACATTTTGATGTGTAAAAATAAGGCAGCATTAAATAATGACAATAGGAAAATGCTGATTTCAGGAACTGCATTAATGGAGACAGCATGCAAAGTCAATTCTGTTTTTATTGTAAAAAGAGAATAATGCAATACTCCTTGTCCAGTCTGTTCAATTAGACCTTTCTTATAGGATGATTAGTGCAAGTACAAACACTAGTAGCCTATTAATTGCCTTTTTCCCCAAGTTGAAAATACCTGTTAATATTCCACATTGTAAAAATTCATCTTTATAGATCCTTTTCTTATTTGTACTTCACATTCCAAAGTGACAAATACAGTAGCATATGCTATATATAGTAAAAACAAAACTGTTAACTATACATTAATTTAAATAACTAACAAGTTATTTAAACAATGAACAAAGCATCACAACTAATCTTACAAATGTGAGATGAGGTAGCAGAAATCATTTTAAAGTAAATGTACCAAATGTACCAGATGAATTATTTTAAGCTGATACTCATTTTAATGAGAATGTTCTTTTAATTTACATTCTAATTTATCATTGAAAAGTGTCATTTATGATGAACTTTGAAATTAATTAAGGTCCACTCGTGTTAATATGAATGGGAAAAATTGTAACACTCCATATGGTGGCAATGGAAGTCCCGCCTTTATGTGTGGTCACATTAGTGAAATTTCTGCAAAAATTTGTCAGCAAAAAAGGTCCGTTGTTTGTTGTCAATAGTGTAGCAATGTATGAAGCACAGCTCACACAGAAGTCACTTTCAAACCAAGATTTCAATTGGTCAACGCTGCGAATTCATATGACCAACTGAACCCGATGTGAAATCGGCATTAGGAAATCTTATGCCCCCATGCGAAATTCCTGAATGCGTGGATTCACATTGAAAATTTTGCCTGCAAAAATTCACTAAACAATGGTAAATATGACCGCACCATTGCGACTTTTTATCTCACAATTCGATTTTTATATCTTGCAATTTTTGGGGGGGGAGTTTTCATATCACTATTCAGATTTCCTTTTCAGAATTTGGAGGGAAAAGTAAAGGGACTTTGTTTAAACTTATCTCACTGTGAAGATGTAACAAAACAACATAAATGACTGAAATGTTTTATAGATCAAAAAGCTTTTTGAAACAAATAAAAATGCACAGACGGACAGCTAATTGAATGCAAACATTACAGTTATTCCCTTGACAACAGGCCTTCGTAGCATGAGATACAATTAAAGACATGCAAATCTAAGGGGTGTTAACATTACAGCTCAAGCCAGATCTAACAACAGTTGACGACCTGCAAATGCACAGAATGAAGTTTGGTTGGATGCTATGAAACATGAAATTAATTCTTAATGTAAGTTCTCTTATTTACATACTGCATGTTAACGGTCTATAAGACATCTACGTCTCATGTCTGTATGTTAGCAGTCTATAAGACATGAAAAGCATACAGCATGATTTGATGTTAATGATGCAAGTGACATGGTCAAATTAGTGGTCAAATAAATACATTTTGAACAAACGAGCTGGGAGAGACAGCTAAGCATGTCTATTGCAGAATAAAGTGCAAATGACACAAGCTTCTTCTCATTTGGTTGAACAAAGAACGATATCCTGGATGAATCAGAACTGGCAGCCAGTCTCTTCTGCAGGACAGTCATGTTTAACAGTCCATTTCGGAGAGTTGGACAAAACATAATGGCACATTTAAAGCAGTCTTTTGAGTCTGTGAGTTGCTGGATTAAAGTGGGAGGAGACACGCAGATTAGTGACACATGAAAGCTGTACATCAAACAAGAAAACACTCAGACGCGTGAGGCAATTCTGAGGTCAGTTCATGCTTCACTCCACAAATTAATCAAGAAATAAATAACATAAATCATTTTTAAAACGGCTTCTCATACAAGGGATTCCACACAAGCATGGGCCCTCTTCATCACCCATTGTATGGGTTATCTTCTCCTCACTGAGGGACTTCAGCTCTTTCAGTGCCCTGGGTACTGGGGAGGGGAATACGGCGGAGGAGCTGAAAACAAAAATAACACAACTTAGAGAAAAGTGTTATGATTGTCTGTGCTACTATATGCAAGTGTGGTGTTTTTATTTCCACTATACACTCTTAAAAATGAAGGTTCTTATTGGAATTGATGGTTCCATGAAGAACCTATAACATCCATGGAAACTTTCCATTGCACAAAAAGTTCTTTAAAGTGGAAAAAGGTTCTTCAGATTATTAAAACGTTCTTCACACTAAGAAAAAATGGTTCTTTTAAGAACCGTTCACTGAAAGCCTCTTTGGAAAACCAAAAATAGTTCTTCTATGGCATTGCTGTGAAGAACCCCTTTTGGGACCTTTGTTTGTAGTATGTGATCTCTGACAGAGGCCATTTGAATACCTGCTTGACTGTATCCTGCGTCAGGAGGATTAGGAGGATGAGGACCTTGGGGCATCATAGGATACTGGTGGGGGACACCTGGATATTGCGGCACCATTGGATATCCAAGATAATCAGGATGTCCAATGGGTTTACCAGAAGCATCGTACATGTGCTCCACAGGATAGCTGGCCATTGGAATATGCTGGGCTGAAATTGAGACTCAGGTTAGTAGGTGATGATTTTTATTCTTCTTAAGAATCAGTTCATGCAAACAAGCATTTTGAACATTAGCCATGGTATTGCAATAAGAAGCCAGTGGTTAAATAAGTATGCCAACAAAGAGCAATGCAACTGTAATACCAAAAAGAGACATAAGAAATCAAGTCAAATGTATTTATATAGTGCTTTTCACAATACACATTGTTTCAAAGCAGCTTTACAGAAAATCACGATGATAATTCTTTATAACTTCATGCCTTATAGCCACATTTAGGAGACTTGAGCTGGAAGATAATATAGTTACATTTTCCAATGATACAAACAATCAAGCAGTTGCGATTTGCTATATAGTATATAATGCGAGTTATATACTGAAAAAATGGATATAATATATATCCAACTTTACAAATAGAGTTGTGCGATAATGTACTTTACGTTTTATTTATACAACTTTTAGTATATTAATGTACTATAAAATAGTTTACATTTTTCGATGATACAGACAATCAAGCAGTTGAGTTTTGCTTGATATTATATCCAGCTTTACGTGAGTGTACTGTATATAAGATTTGATGTATTTATAGTTGTTGTATATCATGCAACCCAACAGCAATAAATAAATAAAAAAATAAAAATGCATTCAGATACATGCTAAATATTACATATAATACCGTCATGTGTCTCTGCAAAAATCCGATATTTACTTTGTTTATTTTTAATTAATTCTTATGTATTTGTAATAAATTCAGGATGGACTGTGAAGAGAATAAAGTTATTGCGTTTACCTTCATAAGGAGTTCTGCCACGTTGCTGGCGGCGCTGGTACAGGTAACAACAGGAACACATGAAGCAACAGACCATGGTTGCTATAGCAGCCACAAAGAGCAGGATCGATGAAGCAATGCCAGCTATAGTGGAAGGGCTGAGAGAGGCAGGACAGAAAACTTGTCAGGAAAGACAACACCAATTTTGAATGATCCGACTTCTCTGGGAGAAACTCAGAAAAATCGCTTTGGATAAAAGCATCTGCTAAATGAATAAATGCAAAATAAAATGCTTGCTGTTAGGTCTAGCAATCAGCACCTTCACCATTAAGATTAAGCATTTCTTTTATAACAGTTATACTTAATTAGTTTTATTTGGCAGTCTAATGTGAGGTTAATGAGCCTCTTTAGGCCACTAAGTGGTCAATAATCTAGAATCTTAAAAAGTGTACCTGAGATGGAACAGCATGCAGCGCTTCTGTCCCGCCTCGGTGATCATCTTGAAGCCATCCAGGCAGCAGTAACGGTGGTGACAGTTCCCACAGCAGAAGGTTATGAGTGGGCAATCAAAGCCATTGTGCCAGGTGCCATTTTTGTCCACATACCACAAGCAGTCCTCATCTGCACTCACTGAAAGAAATAAAACAAAGCTAGTGGTTAAATACAAACATATATATATATATATATATATATATATAAACAGTATGTAGTAGTAGATGGCCTATTACTATTCTGACCTATTCTGTGAGATTCTGAAGTTCACATCCAATGAACAATATAACACGACAGATGTAGTTTGTCCAGATTACATTTATATTATATAGAGCATAAATTTTTTTATTTGGTCTGAAAGAATATTTAATCATGTTGTGAATACAGTTTTTGCATGTGATGTTTATCACATTTGGTGTGAACAGGCCTTTACACACTAGACTAACTACAAGTATACTGAGGTTTTTCGATTCTGTAGGCCTCCTGGTCATTTAAAACCTGTGTGAAACGACTAACATGAACAAATAAGTGATTTAACCTAACAAATATATACAGTGCTGCTTGAAAGTTTGTGAACCCTTTAGAATTATCTATATTTCTGCATAAATAATGTAACCCAAAAAATTATCAGATTTTCATGCAAGTCCTGAAAGTTGACAAAGAGAACCCAATCAAACAAATAGGATGAAAATATATACTTTGTAATTTATTTATTCAGGAAAATGATCCAATATTACATATCTGTGAGCGGCAAGAGTATGTGAATCTCTAGGATTAGCTGTTAATTTGAAGGTGAAATTA